CAGTAACAAAGCGTATTTACTGTTTTATCAGAAAAATACCCAAGTTGTAACAGCCACCACTTCCACAAGCAAAGGCTGCTCTTCGAGCACCAAACCCGATCAATTCTCAAATATCACCCAGTCGCAAGACAACACCAAGTTTATCCTTGATGATTCCAGGAAAAGTTTTGCTTCGGATCTAGGTATCAACCAACCTAGTTCGAAAGATGGGCATGTGGGATCTTCAAATTTAGTCTCATCTACTGAGTCAAAACCTAGGAGGAGAGGAAGGCCCAAAAAAAAGCCTTTTAAAGATGAAGTAGAACTCTTGGTGAATAGGCCAGCACATCATGAATCAGGCAGGCCGAAACGCATCTGTGTTGGTCAATCTACTCAGCATGAAATCGCCGGCCAGCACTCTGAAGATTCACAAGAATCGAGGTCCTATAGTTGTCGAGGCTCTTGTTAGCATGAACCTGGGGCAACTATATATTTGGAACTTCAAATTTTTCTTTCAACTTCATGATATGTACTTATATTTAGAGAAATAAATAGAATACGCCAATTTATTTATCTTTGGTGTAACCGGTTACACAATGAATTGTCGTTTATTCAATTAAAAAAATATATGAATTCCCCTATTCACCATGTTTCGATGAATTCAAGTAGTGAGGTAGTTTATTATAAGAAAATTGAAAAATATGTTGTGATATTTCATCACTTATACATTATTGAACTGATTGAAAATACTCCTTTTAAATACCGCGTGCTCATTCCTCCAATTTTGTTAGAACTAGACCGTACATTTCTTTGTCTAACAAATCGCAAATATTTTCCATCTTTGGAAAATCATCCCCGGGGGTATATATCATTATAATCATCTTTATAATTCATAAATATACATTATCATCATATACGAGCTCATTATTTCACATAAAATCATCATTTCATGTCCTATCAATTCGAGGACAAAATATTTTCAGTAAGGTTAATCCTTCATGCCTTAGTGTGGCACATCTTTCAGGATTCCCTCCTATTTACTGTTATAGTGCATAATTCCAACTATAACACTTCGTACTTTTCAGAATATGAACCAAACAGCTACTTCTCTGGATGTGGTTTGGCTAGGACCACGAGATATGCTGAATAGGGTGATGATTATTCTGTACGCAGAGATTATGCTGTACGGAAACGGTTTCCACTTGAAACCAAGTAACAATCTCTTCATTGAGAGTTTACATACACTTCATTATTCTTGAGCTCAATTAATCCATTTCATATCATATTTCCATAACATAATAATATCATATTTGCGTATACTTCATTTCAGGAGGAATGATAAAAAATAGTTAACGATACCAACGTTTAAGAGTATTTTCAATATTTGAAAGAAAATATATATACTGACTAAGATATTTTGAATCGAAACATTCTCAACTATTACTTGAATTATAAATTATTTGCCTTCGCACCAGTATCGAAATTTATTATGATTAATATCCAGCATGTCGAGTATTTGTTATTATTTTTTTCATTTCGTATTGTTATAAAAGTATAGGCACGTTGTGAATGACTTATTATATTCTCAATTGAGTGTTCATGGCATTGGCATTGCATTTCTTGAATGATTTTATCAACTAAAAAAAAAAAATATTTGAAATTATCTTGATATGAGAAATAAAAAACTGACAAGAATGAGATATAGGAAAAACTTGTTCCCAAATTCAAATAGAAAATTACGAGTAGAGAAAAAAAATAACAAAGTTCAGAGATAAGCTCCAAACTTTGTGAGTCTGGTCCGGTGCTTTATGTCTTTGAATAGAAATGGAATGCTTGTTACTCAACTTTTCGAACTTAATGGTATTTAAAATATTGAAAAAATTTTGGATTTCTAATTTAAATGACTTTCTTACTTTGTTATCACCCATAATTCATGCTGATATACCTACTGAATTACTTTCAAATAACCCTTTCTACTAGTGCCTTTATATGAAATATAAAATTGACATAAATCGATGTATGCAAAAAAAATTGATGAGTCCATTATGAGGAATGAGACTCAGAGAAAAGAAGCTTAGGCGCCTCCACCATGTCACAATATAGGAGTTGTGTTTCCACCATGTCACGATAAAAGGGGTTATATTAAAATAAGCACTAATAGTTTAGGGGTAACTGAAAGTATGGGACTATATTCAAACATAACAATATTTATTGCAACATGAAACATTATGGGTAGCGATAACAATTATGAATAATCAACAATGAATATAAAGACCTAATAACAACTTACATTATAACGACCATTACGACGAGCTCTTGTCAAGTCAAGAGTAGCCCCAGACCAGACTAACTTCGGAACCCTCACATCCAATATTTATATACATCATTTTATCAGAAATGCACGTTCCTCATGAGAGTTCCTTGGTCAGTTTTTATAATGCAATGTCAACGGATGATTTGATTTACTTTATGTTTATAAAACCCTCATGGTTCGAAATTACTGATATACCGTATGTTCTACTCGTGACAATAGTTTCAAAGTGAGTAATAGTTATATCGATAATGGATAAGTCTCATAGTAATAGCAAATATTACAAGCGTGCAAAACTTCATGTGCATGATTTCGAAGCATTTTTAGGGTTTGAAAATCAATCATCCACAATATCTGATGATATTCATTCCCTTGATATTTCCTCTCAAAATGTTGATAAAGTTCCATATGTTTCACATGTGAACACAAATGCTTCAGACTCTTCAGACAAAATTAGTTCAGATGTCGACTTGGATGTTGATCATGATTCAGACAATAATTTATGGTGGAACAAGGAAGTACCAGCACAAAACACTTGTGATGCTTCTTCCTCAATAAATGAAAGAGTACCATTGCAGGAAAGTTTATCAGTGGAACTAGCAGAATTGTGTCTGAAACATAATGTTACACACACATTTGTGAATGACCTTCTGAAAATTTTAAAACCTAGATTTCCATCAGAAGAACTCCCTCTTGATGCAAGAACATTGTTACAAACTCCCAGGAAAACAATTGTACAGCCAGTCAGAGTGGTAGAACCAGGACAGTATTATCATTTTGGGCTAGAAAATTGTATCAAATCCATTGGTAATTTTGAAATAATTGAAATTCTTGTCAATGTTGAGCTCTGGTAGTCAATTCTACCCAATATTATGTAGTCTTTATGAGAATAAGAATTATGTAGGTGTTGCTGGGGTTTATCATGGGTATGAAAAACCAAAAGATCCTAATAGTTTTTTAGAAGAATTTGTAAATGAATCCATACATTTAGTGAATAATGGTTTGTCTAACAAGGAACAGTTATATCCAATTAGAATCAAAGGCTTCATCTGCGATACTCCTGCAAAGTCCTATATCACATATACGAAAGGTCATTCTGGATATATGTCATGTTCGAAATGTCATACAGAGGGAATTTATATTGATAGACTATGTTTTCCACAGACAACAAATCTCCTGCTACGTACAGATGTAGATTTCAGAGAAAAAGCACAGGAAGAGCATCATATTGGTACTTCAGTCATAGAGAACATTCCTGAAATAGATATGATCAAATCTTTTCCACTAGATTATATGCATCTAATTTGTTTAGGTGTCAAGAAGAAATTAATCGTTTCTCTATGGTCTTGTGGTAAACCAACAACAAAACTGTCACATAATCAATTATCCACAATTTCTACCTTATTAACCAATCAAGCTTCTGATATTCCTGTTGAATTTAATCGAAAACCACGTAACCTCAGTGAATGTAAAAGGTGGAAAGCCTCTGAGTTTCGTCAATTTTTATTATATACTGGACCATTAGTTTTAAAAAATATTTTATCCAAGGATAGATACATCAACTTCCTGTGCTTACATATAGCAGTTACCATATTATCTTCTTCCAAACATTTTCAACACTTAGAATATGCAGAAAATTTGTTAAAATATTTTATCGAAACATTTATTATTTTATATGGAAAAGAAAATGTGTCCCATAATGTTCATAATTTAATACCTATAACTGATGATGTCAGACAATTTGGACCATTAGATAATTTTAGTGCTTTTCAATTTGAAAATTATATGCAAGTTTTGAAAAAAAATCTGAGGAAACATGAGAAATCTCTCCAACAACTTATAAACAGGAAAGGAGAACTAGATGCCACACTTTTATTCAAACAAACAGGACATGTTGAGACAAGATTTCCCCAATTAAGAAAACCTCATTGCAAAGGACCTATAATTCCCAATATATCTATCAAATCTGAATATTCTGAACTAATTTTTGAACATTATATCCTAAAACTGAGTGGATCTAATAATTGTTGTTGTTTACTCAATGGTGCTGTAATATCTATTGAAAATTTTCTAGAGACAAATGAAAAACAAACCATTATTATTGGCAGAGAATATTTGGAAAAAAATTGTTTTTATCAGACACCTTGCACTTCTTCAGAATTGGTCATATTGTTAGTGAGTAGTGAAGGTCCTTTGGAATGGTGCAATGTTTCTCAGATTGCTTATAAATTTGTGAAACTTAAATTCAATGATAAATTTGTTGTTTTTTCACTTTTGCATAGTGGGTATTGAAAGCAATTATTTTGTTATTATTCTTAATTAAAAAAATGTAATGTCAATGTATAAATGAAATAAAAAATAATGTAATATTATCAAAAAATAAATAAGTGGTAGTGAGGTTAGGCAAATTTGTATCGAATAATCGTCGTTGACAATAATTTATGAACTCTTTCAGGATTCTTTGCAATTTTTAGGCCTACACTAACATTGCAAGGTTTATTCACAAACGCAACGACGGTTATTTATTTGAACAGATATTATTTCTAATGGAAAATTCCTATTATTTTCATACTGGGGTACCTGAATAATCCGGAATGATCATAATGACAGTGTGTTCTAATTGCTATGCTGTCAATAAATGAAAGTAAAATGTTCCATTATGTATTATGACTATATAGTGATTTTTCAGAATAGTGCTCATCTAGAAGGATAAATAATATTTTATATATACCTTCTAACATCTGAAGCTCGATCTGAAGGTACTTTAGTGGATTCACATATTTATTTCAGTCTAAATGCAATAAAACTTTGAAAATGGAAGCCGAAAATCGTACATGGACAATTGTAAAATTTCTTCAGGACCATTCGGTCGCTGCAGTTCCAACAACCTGGATAAATAATTATATGTGCTTCTGGCCACCCTTTACGCCCCAAAAAGTATCGGTGGCAATAAAATCACAAGATTTTAACACATGCTGGCCATCATATAAAGTGGATATGTTTCGTAATGCTACTTATGGTAAGACCTACTGATTACAAAACTGAAATATATGCCTATCATATCCCTACAAATTTTCAGACAACTATGAAACGGCAAGAGGAAAGGCCAAAATAGCAGAAGATACAAGCGATCTAAACTCTGAGGCAGATGAGATTTCTAATGTTAGGCCATCTAGGAGAACACGTAAAAAAATAATAAGTTCATCAGATGAAGATAGTGATACCACCATCATACCAAGTCCACAAAAAATGATCACTACTAAAAAAAATCGAATAGGTTCGTTTTTATTTGATTAAAAAATAAGGTTGTGCTTGTAGGAATCTTCTTGAACATACTATGTCCTAATTTTTGTTCCAGAGAACATCTCCAGCAGACAACAAGATGACTTGGATTCTAATTCCAGTAATTCATTGACTGGCAGTAAAAGATGGAATAATTCTGAAATATTTGGTAACAATTCATCAAATATTCCACCATTTTCGTCATCTATGCCTAGTTCTGTTGAGAATACGTCAGGTATGAAATATGTACTTTTTACTGTATTACTATTCATAAAAATAACTTGTGTTCAATATTGCTCTTTCTCAAATTAGTTTCATTCAGAGATACTGCATAGATACATACTATAAAATTTGGTGATGGGTTCATTGATTACATTTATGTTTTAGGAAGAAATACACGATGTACATGCTGTTCCATTCATGGTAATACTGACATAATTGTGATTATGAAGGAAAACCTAATATTATACAGCTGTTTTACAGGGGAATATATTAAGGAGCTGGTGAGACAAGTTCGGTATTTAAAAAATGCAGTGGAAGATTTGGTTAATACATTTTCTGAGAAGCAATCCGAATCAGAAACTATGCTGGAATTCATATTCTCAAAATTTACCCTACCTATAAATAATGAGAGAATTTAGAGGAACTCATTTCATTTTTACAAGATGAGGAATCATTCCGTGAAGCGGTGAGGAGTTTCAACCTCTTTCAATATGAATTCTTTGTTGTTTTTCATCTATATACTCAATTCAAAATGATGAAATAATGATGTCATTCAACATTTTCTAAAAGTTTTTATAAAATAAAGCTTTCATTTTACAGGTTAAAGAATTATCTATGACTGGAGGGAACAGTCTGTATGATTTTGTAAGAAGATGCATGGGCAGGTTGTTTACTAACAATTTGGCACACAATTTCAGTTGGCTGGGACGAAGAGAGAAAAAACCCTTCCATGACCTAAGAGTAGCTAATTTGATAATGAGTAAGTTGCAAGCTAGGTGTATTTATATTGTGAACTCAATTCAGCTATTTTCATTTCTCATTATTCCCTTCATCAATACAGTCATTTTTTGTTGAGTAAGCTTTTCATTGCTTTGTTTTCAGAAGCTATCATTAAAGCGAAAAACGTCGACACCAAAGAAGCTGAAAGGGCGTTGGCAATGTGGCTGCGTAGAGCAGGAGACCGAATGAAGAGTAAAGCTACTTGAATGTGTATTTTATAACTTCTGTTTTGAGATTGTGATATACAGGGTAGACCAACCAACTTCAAGCATTTTTGAGTCACCTTGTATATCTCAAAATATATAAAAAATGTGCTGCTCATGAGAGAAGACCATCTCGATTTTTTTTTCTAATTCAAACAGTAAAGCCTTCATCTCACTTTGTCATAACTATTTTTTGTATTTTGGTATATCATTTTTTAAATCACTTTCAAAATATGTCTACTTGAATATTATGTATTTTATGTTTCTTTTGTGTTTGTTATATATATATATAGGTATACTATAGTTTTATTTTTTGAAGTACTTTCAATATGTCTACTTGAATATGTATTTTATTTTTCTTTAGATTTGAACGACCTAACGAGACATAATTAGGACCTAAAAAAGACGTCTTTAGGACGTCCATTTCATTGGAAAAAGTACGTCTTAAAGACGTCTTAAGTATGTCTTCAAGACCAAAAATGTACGTCTTTAAGACGTACTTAGGTACCGAAACATACGTCTTAAAGATGTACTTTGGCTGATTGGGTAGATATGCATGCATGCATAAAATCCCCTAAAAAATTGTTGCACGTTAGATGTAAGCAATTAATTGCATGATCTGCATGTAGTAGATGTAGATTCAAGTAGATTCAGTCTAGGTGCTGGAAAACATTGTGAGGATAACATAAGAAAGCAATGAGAAAATGTGACATCAAAGTATGAAGGAAATTCCAACACCTAGTAGATTAAGGCTTATTTACTAACCATATCATAACCTTAGGCATAAGTGAAAAATAGAAAAAAGAAAAGAACAAAAACTTAAATTAAGAAAAGTTCAATATACGATCTGTTTTAAATTATGAGATAACAGATCAGAAGATATTAGAGTAAATGAAAAAAAAAAATGTCTAATTAAAACAAAGCATTGCGATGGCCCCAGCGGGTGATGACGCAATGTGATTTCTGCCCAGTGCTCTGAATGTCAACGTGAAGAAATTCAAGCAAGCGCGAGTAAACGGCGGGAAGTAGTAGTAGTAGTAGTAGTAGTTTATTGAAAAATAGGAAAGCCTAATATACAAACATCTCGAGCATCCATAAAACATTTAACATCACACATATGTATGTATAAAATTCACAATAGCAATTCATAGTTATAGTTATACAAGATACATATTTAAAAACCATTAACAATAATACTAAAAACAAAATAGAAAATTTAACATGAAGTCAACAGATAACTAAACAATCAAGCTAATAATACAGAAAACTTAATACAGGTTGGGGACAATATCAAGTAAAGAAACAATTATTGAATATAGGATAATATGTTATAAACATTTCCATACAATACCCACCCGTCCAACATTCATAGAATTTTAACATACTTCGATAATGATGATTTGAAAGAAGATAAAGATACTGATGATTTTATATGCATAGGTAGTTTGTTGAATTCATTTAACCCTATGAAAAATAGAGATCTCATGCTCATACTGGAATTCGTTCTGTGAATATGAAAGTCAGTCCTCATTCGTGTGCCATAGTTATGAATTTCATCATTTCTTGTTATGAATTCATTGAAATAGGAAGGAAGTAGGCCTTTCTTCAATTTATAAATAAAGGTCATAGTCATGTAAAATGAACGAGTATTAACTGAAAACCATTGCAATGTATCTAGCATCAGTTTAATTGGAGTATATCTATTACATTTCAGTATTAGTAACTATGACTCTCTTAAACATCGTGGCGATGAGAGGACGTGTCCGCGTTGCTCGCGAAACAATCATCTCTAAAATCCATAGATTGGATCCAAATTCAACATTGAATATACCGAGTGTTTAAGTTCGCCGTGGGTTCCAGTGTGTGCGAACGAGAATACCATATCTTCATCCCGGCCGGAGATATACGGGTTTCGGGAATCTCCAAGTGGGTGTTAACCTACAATTCTGCCTCCGCGTGGTAGAATCGTCTCGTGTTCCCTACGTATTTCCGGCAGCGGCCATAGCAGTAGTACCACTACCAGTGCGCGCGGGTTATTTGAATCAAGGAGAGTTATCGTAGCTGCGAGAACTCTCCTTTTTTCATTAAACCACTTGTGGAAAGTGAATCGTTCCTTCGACTCTGCCATTTTCTGTAAACATTTAGTGGAAAGTGCGGAGTGTTATCGCGCCAACAAACACACGTCCCAGCAACCACGGGGCACCACAACCAAGGGAAATGTCAGGAAACAAAGAGAAGGGAGTCCAACCATCCCTGACGACACCCACCCAGGGCCCAACCAACACCGCCAGTGGCCCTGGTCCGCTAAGGAGAAAGGGAACAAAAGTGAACCCAAGGAGGGTAAGTTTTTCTGCCACTCCACCCTCTCTCCAAGCAAACCCGCATCCGCACCGGTGTCCAAAGTGCGGACACGGTTGCGAGACCAATGGGGGGCTGCAGGAGCATATGAAGCTATGCGGAACACAGGGGGTAAGGCAGCACGAAAAGAAAGCGCATCCAGACCTATATGCGAAGGAAATGGAAGATAGCCTGCCGAGGCCGGAACACGAGCTTTACGAGATCCTTGCGGCCATAGAGGTCTCCACCTTGAAGGGTAAACCGTTCGTAAAAGAAATGGAAAGAGCCACCGGCCTCACTAGCCATCAGATCCGCCACAAGCGGGATAGAACGATATATGTACAGTGTCACCGTTAAAGTCCGCATCATATGGGATTTTTTTTTATTAGTCAGTTATTGCAAATTTAGAGTTCGTGAACAGTTTGTGCTTTGAAAATTATGCAAAATGACTTTTACGATGTTTTCCTATTCATCGGCTACACCTGTCAAATATGACATTTTTTCTAAAAAATTACTAAATGTCAGGTAATTTCTCAATATTTCGAGAAATATTATATGAAAAAGTGTTTATTTTTAGATTTCCTACCCACCTACCAAATTTGAACCAGTTTGAACAACTTTGATTTTTTTCTCGTTTTCTTAACCTTACAATTTTTCGGCTAATTTAAATTTAGTCAAATCTGAAAAACCAGTTGAGATGTAATACACCCATCTGCTGAAAGAATTTTTTTCTGATTAAAATGTTTCTAATTGGATATTTTCAAATGAAGAAGAAAGAAATATTCACCAGTCTACTGTGAGCAGGATTATCTCAAAGTTCGAATCGACGGGTTCAGTACAAAATACTTTCAAAAGACCTCATAATCCAAGAGTTTATGATGAAGAAGCTCAATTAAGTGTATGCCTAGATGTGGTAGAGCATGGGCAAACTAGTATAACAGATATTTGTAATAGGACCGGTGCTAAAAGGGAGGCCGTGAGAAAAATATTACACAATAATAAGTTCAAGCCGTTCAAACCAAAATTTATAAACACGTTAAAAGAGCGAGATTTTGACGTACGGTTGGATTTCTCTTTTTGGTTCCAAGGACAACGAGAAGAAAATTCAAATTTTCCTTGTAAAATTTTATGGACAGACGAGGCGACTTTTACCTCGAATGGGGTAGTCAGTTCACAAAACTGTAGGTGGTGGTCAACAGAAAACCCAAAGTTTGTGATAGAATGCCGAGATCAATATTCTTTCAAGACAAATGTGTGGTGCGGTGTGTTAAATAACAGAGTCATTGGCCCATATTTCTTCCGGGAAAATTTAAATTCAGAGAGATACTTGCAGTTTTTAAATGATGAAATACGTCAAGTTTTAGATGAAATGCCCCTTAATGAAAGACATAACCTATGGTTTCAATGTGACGGAGCGCCAATTCATAATTCGGCAGGAGTTAAAAGATATATCTTGGAAGTATTTCGAGGGAATACAATAGGGCGGAATATGGAACAACCCTGGCCACCTAGGTCGCCAGACCTTACCCCACTAGATTTTTTCCTTTGGGGGTATTTGAAGCAAAAAGTCTACAAGCGCAGACCATTTCGAGATGTCAACCACCTGGAGACAGTAATTCGAGATTGTGTATTAACTATGTCTCCTCAGTTTTTAACAAACGCTGTCAACGAAGTTTCCAGGCGAACCATTATTTGCATTGAGCGTGATGGAAGACATACCGAAATGTTATAATTGATATCCAACCCACGTTGTACATTCTTATCATTTGAATCGCCTTATAATAATTAATAAATGTTTATTGTGAAATAATTGTTCATTTTTCTATTACTACAATTCTTTTCAGAGCATGCCAGAGCAACTTGATTCATTTGTAAGTATTACTTCGGAGAATAATTTTTGAAGATTGACTTAGCAACTTTAGATATATTGATTTGGAAATGGATTCAAAAATTCAGAACTAGAGCCACTTTGCATCAAGTATTAGACATAATTCTTTCAGCATATTTGTATTTATTTGAAAATATCCAATTAGAAACATTTTAATCAGAAAAAAATTCTTTCAGCAGATGTGTGTATTAAATCTCAACTGGTTTTTCAGATTTGACTAAATTTAAATTAGCTGAAAAATTGTAAGGTTAAGAAAACGAGAAAAAAATCAAAGTTGTTCAAACTGGTTCAAATTTGGTAGGTGGGTAGGAAATCTGAAAATAAACAACTTTTTCATATAATATTTCTCGAAATATTGAGAAATTACCTGACATTTAGTAATTTTTTAGAAAAAATGTCATATTTGACAGGTGTAGCCGATGAATAGGAAGACATCGTAAAAGTCATTTTGCATAATTTTCAAAGCACAAACTGTTCACGAACTCCAAATTTGCAATAACTGACTAATAAAAAAAAATCCCATATGATGCTGACTTTAACGGTGACACTGTATAAAGAATATCTCGCACGTGCGCGACGGGCTTCCATACGGGCGGCAACTGCGAACATGGCATCCAAGAGGAACACTGTGAATTCTCCCTCTGTCCAGTATCCGCCCCAAGCTGCCACGACTGCCTCAGCCAAGGGGAAGACAAAACTTGTCCCCATGGCATCGAGAGCAGCCACCACTACCCCTGGAACGGGGTGCGACGAACTTGATGACTCCGTATACGGAACACCTAGGAGCTCCCTGGACCCCATAAAGGTCCCAGCAGTGCTGCCCATAGCCAGTAGCCCCAGGATACACTTTTCTCAAATCCCAGGACCCTCCACAAGACTCGTTGAATGATCCTCCCCAAATGGCGCTAACATCTAAGAAGCGTTTGCGGCAAGAGGATACGCACAAGCGGCCCCAAGGAGACCGCGAGTCGAGTACTCGACAACAGCAGGTCAAGATCCCTCCCCACTTCCACCAGAAGTTTGTCAGTTGAGTGAGTCCCCACTGACTGCTCCAGAAGTGATCGAGAT